AAAGTTATTGCTCAGCCAATGAACGTAACGTAACTCTACCCAACAAATTTGCAACCTCATGTCTGACATTTTGGAAGGCTTTCTGCATTATTATCGGAACTTGTATAACATACGTCTAGTGGCATCTCTTGCTGGAGCTGTTGATCATTTGCTCCGTGGGGCACAGATAATTAGATAAGACTGGACTTAGCGACTTTCCGCTCTTATAAGACCCTTTTTACGGAGGTGAGTCCACTACTCTTGGATGCACTTCACCCTATCCTAGATGGAGCATCTCCATCATCTTGCTTTACCCTGCAAACATCTCATTTGCCTAAAGAGGTTTAAAATCCACCCTGGTGCTCCAGCTACTGCCTCATTCCAATCCTTAACCTTAAGCTCAAGCTCCTTTCCACAACACCTCTCTACCTCTTTTGCCAGACATTATTTGTCTGCAGGGCTGCCATCAGACATTGTGGGGCCCCTAACACAGCTCAAGGTCTGGGCCCCTAGGTGCCCGCCTCCCAATCCCGCCCACAGGAATACACACACACAGACACAAAAGGACACAGACACACACACAGAAAGATACACACAAATACTGAAACAGACATACTTACAAACTGACATACAGACAGACATACATACATACATACACATAAATACATACAGACAAACACACACACACACACACACACAGATATATCCATACACAGATACATACAGACATACATGCATACTGACATACATACATACTGATAGATATATACATACATACATACTGACATACACACATACACACAGACATACTGACATACACACACGACATACATACACACATACATACATACATACTGACATACACACACACAGACATACATACTTGCAGACACATACACAGACATACATACTGACAAACAGACATACATACAGACATATATACTGTGATCCTTGTCAGCAGGTAGCACAGTCCTCTAGGGCAAAAACATGCACAGTCTTTTGCTTTGCATATAATCCAGTCACTTTATTGTTAAATCCACACAGGATACAGCAGTAAATTAAAACATAAATGTAACACAAAACCTTATAAACAAAAACCTAGCTCGTCTGAGCACTAACTCACTTTGAATAACCCTCTCTATCAGGGTTAGACTAACAAAACATACTGCACAAACCTTATTAGTTAGCAACACTCTGCTAGCTAGCCTGTTGCTTTCCTTTCTGCACTCCCAGTGCTCCAAGCCAGCCTTGCCCTGACTGCTTTCCTTTCTGCACTCCCAGTGCTCCAAGCCAGCCTTGCCCTGACTGCTTTCCTTTCTGCACTCCCAGTGCTCCAAGCCAGCCTTGCCCTGACTGCTTCCTTTCTGCACTCCAAGTGCCTAGTCTCATTGACTCTATCTGGAGAGAACAGCCTCTCTCTCCTACCTGCTTCCTGGGAGGAAGCCAGCAATCCCTCTCCTTTACCTGCCTAGCAGGGAGGAGTTTATTCCCACTGCAACAGCCCATTAACTGCAGCTGAGCAGTGGGTTGGAGACGGTCCAAAAAACCCTGGCCTGGATCTACGTCTCCCCAGAAAACCACTAAACTGTGGAGTGGAGCATTGGCCCACCCTTCTCTCCAAATGCTCCACCCCAGGGGCCCATAACTAAGCAAAGCTTTGTGTTGTGCAACACAGAAACTACACGTACTTCCCCTGGGGTTAAAAGGCCTATCTGCCTTCACTTTATCACAATACATACTGACACACACACACACATACAGATAAACACATACACACATACATCCAAACATACTGACATACACACACACACACACAGACATATATACATACTGACGTACACATACAGATAGACACACACACAGAGACATGCATGCATACTGACATACACACACACAGACATACATACTTGCAGACACATACACAGACATACATGCTGACAAACAGACATATATACATACTGACATACACACACACAGACATACATGCATACTGACATACACACACACAGACATACTGACACACACACATACATACAGACATACATACACACACACCTCATTTATCAGCCACCCTTTTCTTGCCTTTAAGTTGGCCATGATGGGAGCGGATGCCTCTGGTGTCCTCTCCTGTCCTTCGCTCTCCCTTTGCTCTCCCCCCGCGCGGAGTAAGCTGGGAGGAAGTGACCAGCTGTCACTTGCGGTGCAGCCGCAATTATTTTTAAAGGGGCCCGGTCGCACAATTACACGCCCGCAGCGCTGACCGGGCCCCTGAAGATATAGGGATATAGGGCCCATTGGGTGGCCCTAAATACTTGGGCCACCTGATGGGCCCTGGTGCAGATGCACTTGCGGCAGTTTTGCCGCAGGGCCGCCGGGCCCGTGACAACCGTTATGGTCTCCCCGCCCCTATTGACTAGTGTCTCTGACTGCCTCTCTGTTATTTCTAACTGGATGGCTGCCCACTTCCTTAAGCTCAACTTGTCCAAAACAACTTCTGGTCTTTCCTCCTTCAAGTGTTGCTACTACTGTTTCTGTCTCCCTCAACGTTAATGGCGCTATCATCAGCTTCACCACGCAGGCTCACTGCTTAGGTGTTCTCTTTGACTCCAACCTCTCCTTCACCCCTTATGTAAAGTCGATCGCCAAATCCTGCTGCTTCCATCTCAAAACATTCGTGCATCCGCCCCTACTTAATGTCAGATGCAGCCAGGGCTGCCATCAGAAATTTTGGGGCCCCTGACACAGCTCAAGGTCTGGGCCCCCCGGTGCCTGCACCCGAGTCCGCCCAAAGTGCTGCCCTTCCCCCCCCACTGAGTCCGCCCACAGGAATGCAGTGTCTGCAGGGCCGGTGCAAGGATTTTTGCCGCCCTAGGCAAAAGTAAAGTTTGCCGCCCCCCCATGTGACATGTTAACTAACACCAGTGTTGCAGTGCCGCCGTGTTTACATTAAAAGGCCTGCAGGGACAGGCTAGACACCAGAACCACTACATTAAGCTGTAGTGGTTCTGGGCACTATAGTGTCCCTTTAATGTGAGGTAAATTAGAGATTAGTGCCACAAATAATATACTAGTTTGCCTACTTACAACCAGATGAGGATGATGATGGGCTCTAGCTGCCGTCTGGCTCCACTGGTCTGGTGTAGAACAGGCTCTCTGGAGGCGGTTTGTAACTGTGGTCACAAAAATCAATGTTCTGGGATCAACGGGAAGCAGCTCCATTTTTTTGAGGGCCCTTTACACAGCTCAAGGTCTGGGTCCCAGTGTCCACCTTCATGTTCCACCAATGAGCTTGTTTACAGGGGGTAGAGTGTGTGTGGGGGGGATGTCCTGATGTGTGTAAGGAATGCATTGTGTGAATCTGTGTTTGTATGTGTAAGGGCTGCAAGGTGAGTTTGTGTATGTATGGGATGCAGTGTGTGCATCTGTAAGGGATGCATTGTGTGTGTGCATTGTGTGTTGTTGTGTGTAAGGGATGCATTGCTTGTGTATGTGTGTCTGTGTGTAATGCATTGTGTGTTTTTCTGTGTGCAAGGGGTGCATTGTGTGTGTGTGTGTGATGGATGTCAATCTCTCCCCCTCCCCCCGTCAATTTCCTTCTCCCCCTCCCCCCGTCAATTTCCTTCTCCCCCCTCCAATTTCCTTCTCCCCCTCCAATTTCCTTCTTCTCCCCCTCCCTCCCTCTCTCCAATTTCCTTCTCC